CATATGTTAACATTGTCGTCTATGGAAATTCAATTAGTGGTATGAGCCCTTTACATGTGACTGAAATCATTCGCTTACGGGGAAACTAAGTTGAATTTTACTTGCATTTTATAACAATTCAACGAATTTATTTTTCGTGCGTTATTGTAATCACTACTAAATAATAATCACCAATATCAACACTTCGAAAACAAGTAAGTTATTCACTTGTGACCAGCAGCATGGCCGGATCGAGCTACCGTTATGTGATCATTTGCTACTAAGCAGTGCATTCGTGTTTTTATTTGAAACTTCTGTTAGAATATACTTTTCGTTACCAAGAAAATAAAAAAAATAAATGCATATTACATTAAAAATACTGAGTATTTTTTGTATCATGTAGAATTTTTTTTTGATTGACTGTAATTTTTCAACATTTCGTAACGCCTATTTTAGAACCAAAATAAGGCCTTTCACTCTTCCCCGACGCCTATTCAAGAGATTGTACGGTGTATTGTTTGTTTTGTGCATGTGTTGTGGACAAAAAATGACCACGCCCATTTAGTGATTGCAGTATGTACGTAATAGAAACCGCACCCCGAACTTGAGCTTTTGATCCCAATTTTTAAATTGATACATTGTAATATAAACCGCGGTTTATAATAGGACTTTAACGGTATCCCACATTTTTAACCATCATTCTGTCAGGTTTCTCTTCAAAACAGCTGTCTAAATTGATACATATTAAGCAAAGATATATAAGATGAAGGTATGCTACTGGTGTGATAGATTTTTGAATTGTGAGATGGTGACAATTTTTCACAAAAAACAAACATCCATTTCACAAAAAACAAATTCATAAAGTCTGTGAAAAAAATGGTTCAATATTGTCACACATCTGTTTTTGATAGTGTTTTTTGTGCGGCTATGTTATTTATTAACATGTTTTCAATGCAGGGAAATTAATCTGCTGCCTGCCCCCTCTCCGAAAGGTCAATTGTGGGCATTCCCACCAGAACCAATCATGTTTGAAGCTGAAGTGGGCTTGGCAACCTCAGCCAATCACAAGTCAGCTTAGTGCTGATTTGCAAAAGTAAAGAAACAGTCAATCTGTGGCGCTTAATTCCTATTTCTAATTAGTTACATTATTGCCTCGCAGCCAGCAGCTCCTAAACAATCAATTTTCATAATGCCTGCTGTGTTTTGTGGTGCCATTTGTTAGAGATTAGTATGTTTGATGAACTTTGTATGTGTAGTGGGATAACTCCATCAATGCTTTTATCATACAGTAAACCACTTAATTTTTCCTACCAGGAATTTGTGCGATTATATGGCATATATAAAGAGAAAATTTTCTGAAAGTCCCACATTCTGTGTCTTAGTAAAAATTTCACCGCTACAAAATGTCATTATTTCCACTGTCTCTCGAAATTTGTAAAAATGTTGTCTCTCAAAATTAAAGTGGTTTACTCATGTCAAACAAATCTTTGATAGTAAGTGATATTTGGTGATGAAATATTTGTTTTGAAGTGTATAGAACCGTGTTTGTTTACAAATTGAATTACCAAACACTGTCAATACAAGTTGCTTAGCAACCATGTGCAAGGAAGAGTCATTTAGTGATGTAGATTCACTTCTAGTCAGGGGGAACCGCTCAATCCCATGGATTGCACCACATGGGTAATCAACTCCGCCTCTGTCCACTAAGTAAATGAATGCTTATTATGCTCACTTTCTCAAACTGTGATTAACAGGCATTTTGCATACATTAGCAGCCATTTTAAACTCATGATTTTTACTCGTCGCGGCACGTTTCAACTGAAAACAACATCTTTTATACATTAAAAGTCCAACCAGATGAGTGTAATCGCTAGCGTACATATTTACGCCCCCGTAGAAATGTATTTGGTATCACAGCTTGATCTTTAAACATCGTAAATGGCACCAGAGCTCCCACCACGTTATGAGAGGCTTGGTTCGAATTAGCATACTAATTGCGGTGGTCATCTTGCCCCTGTTTATAGTATCGTTTCCCCTTTAATATATCAACTACACTTCTGTACTGCGTCTGTTGATTCTGTTTAATAGGCATCAAAATTACTTTTGTGAGGTTTTTGGATTGTCCGTGAAGTATGGAAAACTTATTTTTCATTAATATATATACAATGAGGGTAGATACAATATAATATCTTTGTGTCCATGCATAATTTTGTAAGTTTAATCTACATATGTACGAGACTCTGGCAAATGGGCTCATAGTCATAAAGATGACTCTGTTTCTATCATTGGCTTAACCAAAACTTTATTGTTGTTAAACTTTACCATGCTTTTCTTGCATTAACATGTTAGTAGAAGCAATTTCTGCAATGTTAGCAAAGTTTTTTTCTTATTTTAACAGTGACACAAGTGGAGATATACTTAATAATTGTGGTGTAATGGAATATCTAAAAGATTCAGGTGTACTCAGTGTGAACTTCAGGAATATGGTAAGATTTTGACTTTCATTTTTGACTATTTCCGATCTAAGTATTTTGCAGTTTAAATGCTTTCAGCAGTGTGTGAAAATTATATCCTGCTGAGTAACTATTTATAAATTTGTTTACAGTCTTTGAAAAAAATAAAAAGAGAAGAAGGTAGAGGTCAAGAGGTGGGTGCAATTTTTTTTAAAATTGTTTATTCATATTTGATCATCTAAGGACATAAGAGTTTAGAACTGTTATATTTATATCAGTGTGACTCTCGTTTGGATACTATCCACAGATTTAGTTAAAAGTTAGCATACAGATTTGCCACTCTGTGTTATTCTATGAGTCAATCCAATATGGCTACCTGGCAACCATATATTTCACCTGAAATATGTAAGTGTCAAATGTCTTTGATTCAAAGCAGAGGGCTCAGCACGTATGAACATGTGAGATGTGTGTCCCAAGTTATGATAACAACGCACGCTAAAAATACAAAGGCTCATGGGTAGATGCTTGTTTGTAAACAACAACACACTATGTCCACTATGTCTCACTTTAAATAAGATTTAATAGATCTTCTTTTAAGGTATATGTGGAAGACATCATTTTGAATTAAAACTATCTGCTTATAATACTTGACAGACATCAGCAGACTCAATATTTCTGTATACAATATATTAAGAACTGACATGATAATATTTCTCTTAAAAAACAATTTGTAAGTGAGAGTTATAAAATATATTGACTGACATTACTTCTAAAATCCTTTTACTTGTAGATTGTTACTGAGAAAAAATTCACCATATTATTCCAGTCGGAATTCAGTGTTGCCGGCCAAGAACTCGTATTCCAAGTCCGAGTGAGTTTATCTTTTTTACATGTAATCTTTTACTTTATGGGTTTCTAAAATCTACCTTTTTGAGGTTATGGGTCATTTTTGTGGTATTTTAGTATCTATTTCACAATGTATTCACCAGTACAAAATCATGCTCATGGACACAGATCAGTTTTATTGTATTAAACTGTTACTGGATGTTATTGTGGATTGTGTCTGTATTTTGGGGATACACACACATGTTTAAGCATCAGTTAAAAGTATTTTTTTTTCCATTTATTTGAATAATACATCTTTGTCATGCCTGGACCAATTACGTTCAAACATCATATCTGATAACTGCATATGCATCAAATCTAAAATTGCTGACTGGCGGCCATTTTGTTATTACACATCCATATCAGTCAATATTATGAATATCACCCTGGTAGTTGTGCAATATTTCATTTCTATAATGCAAATAGAGACTATGTCATTGACAATGACTTGTTCTTGATCCTTCAGACACTCTCTCTGCCAGTAGTAGTTATTGTCCATGGCAACCAAGAGTCTAATGCCTCAGCAACAATATTATGGGACAATTCTTTTGCTGAACCCGTAAGTACTCTGAATAAATGTTAATTTTGCTCGCAGCAGTGTTAAACACTTGTATATGTTTATCATAATGTAGTTTATATACTTATAAGAATTTTTTTCCATAAATAGTGGTTAAAAGTGGCAGCTGTTTGACTTGTTTTTGTGCCTTGAATTGCGTTTTCATTATCCGCTGTCATGACTCATCCATCATATCTCTGATATAAATAACCACAGTATTCGAAATAGTAAACACAATGAAAGAAAATCTAACACTATTTGATGGGCAAAAACTGTGTGGCTGTCTTGCCAAGGTTATGACAGCTGTTTGCCTGTATAAGGTCTATTTCCTTCACACAAATCTCTTCTCATATTGTCAACATTGCTAGAAAACTAACAGTTGACAATATTCTGAAGCTATGAGTGGTTGCATTGCAGGGCAGAATTCCCTTCATAGTTCAAGAAAAAGTACACTGGACTCGCTTATCGCAAGCATTGAACAGGAAGTTCTCACAGGCATGTGGTAGACAGTTGACTCCTCAAAACCTGAAGTATTTGGCGGTTAAAGCATTTGATGGACATTCCACACCAGACATGGACTTTGATAATATGATGATATCATGGGCTAATTTCAACAGAGAGAATCTATCAGGAAAACAGTTTACTTTCTGGAAATGGTTTCACGGCATTATAGAGATTACAAAGAAACATCTACGAGAACCATGGCAAGAAGGGTGAGTTTAAACAGTACTAAAACCAAAGTAATTCATACAAAAATACTCGTTACTCAAACACCAATTAAATGTAGTCTAATAACACTAAAAAAGTACTTAAACATGTTCTCATGGCTTGAAAATTACTGAATTAGTACTGAATCAGTATTCAAATTACTGTAAAATCTGTATTAGAAACCACAGCTTCTATTAAAATGGTACAATGCAATAAAGGGGATGCGGCTTTTATTAGAGCATCTACACATATGAGAAATCATGAATTTCTGTTTTCAATTATTCAATAAAAATAGAATTCAACAGATTTTACGGTAATTGAAATGTACAATGTATTAAAGTAGTACCGTAAAATGCCTAATTGAGGCCGCGGCTTTAATTAAAATTCATTTTTCAATGGGCCAATTCAAATGCGTGAAGTCTTGGTGCCGCTTTAATTAGAGCATTCACTTCGGTAACAGTGGAAATTTTTTTCAGAAAACAAAGGCCAGAAGGGATAATGACATGCTAATGAGATGCATGACACTCGATTGCAACTTTGTTGCAATTCTAAGTGCACTTTTGGATTTTACTCAAAAAATACTGAATCAGTAATCAAAATGTATCTAAGTAGTTTTTCAAAAAGTACTAAAAACTGTTTTTAAATATGTACTCAAATTGTATCAAAACAGTATGTACTTAAAAATTTGAATGACAAAGTCAACTTCAGGCACCATCCGCAAAAGATAGTTACATTTATAGTCCACTCTTTTGATAAAAAATCAGCAGTATCACATTTTGCCTTTCGATTTCAAAATTGAATTCAGTGAAATGAAATGACTTCAAAAGGTTTAACAGTACTAAACATGATCTCAAATTGTACTTCAACATGCTCTCAAGTAGTACTCAAACTGAAACAGTATTCAAGTACTTAAATCGTTATGGTAACATACAGGGCGTGTTTAAATTTTGTGTAAACAATGTATTTTACATTCGTTCTATACATCGCTGTGAGTCCCATATCGAAAAGGACGTGGCATGATGACTACCACACGTTCCAACAAGTAGCTTACTGTAAAATGACTAATTTTTGCTGGGTTTAAATTTCGCTGATTTACTATTTCAGGCATATTCAGTGGGTTTTAAATTCACGGTTTTATCATTTAGATAATGTATTCTATGCTAAATTTTACGTATTCACTGGGTTTTAATTTAGTGCATTTTCCAGTCAGCGAAATAAGCAAAATTAAAACCCAGTGAATAATTAACCCTTTTACAGTATTGTCAAAATGTTATAATATAATTTGTCTTTCTTCTTTAGCTATGTGGTTGGCTTTGTGAGTAAGGGTCATGCCCAGGAGTTACTTTTGTCCCGAGCCAATGGTACTTTTATGTTAAGATACAGCGATGGGTCTATTGGAGGAGTGACCATTGCATGGGTAGCACAGGACCCAAACACAGGTAAATCAATTGATACATTTATGTTAAGATACAGCGATAGGTTTATTGGAGGAGTGACGATTGCATGGGTAGCACAGAAACCAAACACAGGTAGGTCAATTTATACTTTCATGTTAAGATACAGCGATAGGTCTATTGGAGGAGTGACGATTGCATGGGTAGCATAGGACCCAAACACAGGTAAGTCAATTGGTACATTAATTTTAAGATACAACGATGGGTCTATTGGAGGAGTGACGATTGCATGGGTAGCACAGGACCCGAACACAGGTAAATCAATTGGTACATTAATTTTAAGATACAACGATGGGTCTATTGGAGGAGTGACGATTGCATGGGTAGCACAGGACCCGAACACAGGTAAATCAATTTGGTACATTAATTTTAGGATACAACAATGGGTCTATTGGAGGAGTGATGATTGCATGGGTAGCACAGGACCCAAACACAGGTAAATCAATTGATACATTAATTTTAAGATACAACGATGGGTTTTTTGGAGGAGTGACCATTGCATGGGTAGCACAGGACCCAAACACAGGTAAATCAATTGATACATTCATGTTAAGATACTGCAACGGGTTTATTGAAGGAGTGACCATTGTATCACTAGTTAAGTCTGCTTCTATTGGTGTAGGAATTGTTTTTGAGGTTTAGATGATGTGATTCAAAAGGTTCATTGTATGATTTCTATATTGTTTAGGTGAACGTCAAGTCTGGAATCTTCAACCATTTACATCAGAAGATTTCAATATCCGTTCATTAGCTGATAGAATACTTGATCTGCCACAACTGGTGAATCTATATCCGGACATTCCAAAGGATTTAGCATTCGCTAAATACACCAAAAAACAACCTGAAGGTAAATGACAATATGAGGTTTATTACAAGAATACCGCAAAGTATGTACGAAGGCAGTACGGTAATTGAATTGACATACGTCTCGCGGAGGTCGATGCGTTTCCGTACTGAGTGCATAGTTTGCATTACTTTCATGACAACTAAATTATTATACATCGTTTTTTTTACATCATTGCACATCCCCAGTATGCTATTTTTGTTGATGACACAGTGTTTTATTTCACGTCTTGTGTACACTGTATTGTGATATTTACTCAAATTGGTTATGAAACCTTATATAACATATTATATAAAAATATGTTTAGTAAAATGATAAACACTTCAGTACTACTTAAATATATGAACAGAACAGTACATGATGTATAAAATGATTTATTAGGTGAGAATATGCAACTGACATAGTATGTGAGAATGTTTAACGTAAATATATTTATCTATATAAAGATGTAAATTTTGCAAGATCTTCACAAAATCACAAAAGTTGACATTTCTGGACATGCTATGTAAATATAACTGAAGAGTATTTGTTGTGTCCATTTTTGGCGATGTCCTTGCTTATTTGTAAAGTTGTGTTAGTAAAGTTGGCGGTAATCTCACTTGTTTCTGTTTACCAATCAAATATTCCCATGCAATCATTGCTTTCTGTGATGTCATTGGTTTGGTTGATGAACATAAAGAAAAGAATAAAAAAGTCAGTCATTATTTGTTTTTTTGCTCTCTCCAGTAATGTATATACTGAAACATGACATTTGTTTGATTGCAGTTGATACAAAGACTCAGGATGGATATGTACCATCAGGACTTGTCAGTACAGTCCAGTTACCTGCAGCGTAAGTCGAACAACTCACATGAATTATTACATATACAAAGATTGTCATTTGACCAAAGTCCACTGAGGTCAACATGCAGCAAAAATCAGTTCAGTTTGACAATTGGACTCTGCTGGCATTTTTAATTAAATGAAACAAATAAAATGGTGTCTAGACAATAATACACCCTGACTCAACGAATGTAGCCGATGATAAACATGATTGACATTGATTACTCTAAAGTCATACTTGTAATTAAGATGGTGTTGATACATGTCACGAGTTTGACAACAGATTCTTTATTGATATACCGGTTATATTATACCAGCTTCCAATTGTTAAATAAATCATCCATTGAAACAAAATGTTGCATGCTCCAAATGTTAAAATGTCATGCTGAATTGTTTTCCACTGTAGTACGGCGTCTGACTGTTTGGGAGCTTCAAAACTACTAGTTTTATGCATCCAGAAAAGGCAGAATGTGGAAAAGTTAAATGCCGCAAAGAAAAGAAATTAATTTAAATAAGAATTAAGGAATCAGGCAAATATTTCTAAAAAAAGTTGATTCTGAGATCTTATCATAGTTTTCATAGCAACTGTTACTATAGCGATATTTAAATTTGTTTGACACAGTAGCATGATGCCAATGAGCCCTCTTGCACCACGAATGTATGAAGAACCAGCATCACCAGCACAGTCTATAATAAACCCAGGGTCAGTGCAGAGTACAGCCAGTACAGATACAACTATGGCTGATATGAATAGGTAAGGCGGCCATATTGAATAAATATCATTACTGTAATAAGTGTTCTCCCAAAAAAAAATTGCATACAGTATTGGTCAATTTGTATAACAATAGAACATGTTAATGACTTCTATTATATTCATTTTTATGCTAAATTGGTTCTATTGTTTAGTTGGGAACCTCTGCTCTATAATACCCTAGGGAGAACCCTGCTGTAATATAGAACTCCCTGATTCTCAAAAACTGTGCATATTCCCACTCCCCAAATTTAGATGCTGTAATTTTTCCCCCCAATAATTTTTTTGAAATTTTGCAAATTTGTGTCTTTTTCTTTAATTTCTCTATTTATTTTGGACCTAATTACTACAAGTTTTGATACTAAATTTTGAAGAAAAAAAAATCAGTCTTTAAGGAAAATGAAATTGCGAAATTAATTGCATCGTATTGATTTCAACAACACTTTTACAATGAAGAGACAGAAATGATCACAAAATATACTTAAATTTTGTTATAATATTAATTACGTACCACCAGAATTTACAATATAAAAATTATTAGGGACTGTTGGAACAAGTCATAATCTTCATTATTATCTTCATTGTTGAACGTGTTCTATCATTTGCAAACTCTTTTTGCAAAGCAATAATAAGGTACAACTTTTTCATATCATTTCACCAATCCAAATTTGAAGATATGAAAAAATAATTTCATCAGAGAGTATGCTAATTTTGACTATTTTTGATTACATTTCAAACTCTTGCTTCATTTTCGATATCTTGATGGCATTATTCCATAACAATGAAAGCAGGGAAAATATATTTTATTTTTTCCCTCTTTCTTTCATACTACCACGTCTATTCCTCTTTTATTCCTACCACTACTCTTCCTCTTTCACCTCACACTAGAAAACTCATCCTTGAGTCGCTAGTTCAGGCATCTATCAATGAAAATTACTTTCCAATCTTCCTGTATTTTCAAGCGCAGCTAATGCTGAGATTGACCTTACTGAACTCACAGTTGAAGACATTAACGCACTTGCCAATATATCCTTCACCGATGATTTCAACATAGAGGGCGCTGAAGAATTTGATACCATTATGGCAGAAGACCTGGACTCCTTCTTAAGCCGTGTGCTGTAATATTCTAATGGCACAGCTTTTTATTAAATTTTAACCAAAGCTTGTTCTAGTTAGTTGTGTATGCTAATGAGAATGTAATTAGTGCAATTTTTATCTTATTAGTGAATATCGGTAACTGATCAAATACACAGAACACATCAGTCTGTATACAGTAGGAAATTCAACATTTGTAGTTCAAATTTGCAACATTTTTGTTGGTCAAAGGTTACCATGAATTTTGTTTTTGGTGTAGAGTCAAAGGTCAGATCATGTATGTAATTTTGGGAGTTCTATTTTGTGATAATCTTTGTAATTTGCATTTAAATTGCATTTTGAACCTAGGAAACTGACGAGTTACAAGAATTGGTGCTAAAATATAGTACACAACTAATGGTGTTTGGTGTCATGATGAGAAAAAAACACGTAAACATAATAGGGTTAGATTTGAATCTATTTTTGCACTGATACAAGCCTTATTGACATTTACAGTTGAATGGAGGATTTTTTGAGTTTAATATTGGTGCCATATGTGAAGGAGGTTGAGAAAATTGGTATTATATCATGTGAAGTTCAGATGCTAGTAAAAGGGAGCGGTCATTATTACAACCCTTTGCCATGGTAACTGTTACCATGGTTACAAATAAACTGTAGGAATGTAGATTTAATTTCTGACTACGTTTTGTTGTGATTGTTCTTGTATTGTTGTAGCCTCCACTGCCAATCATTGTGTGAGAGATTTTAACTGCATTTATTATAGTGTCTTGTATAATGAATTTTATCATTCCATATATGGTCATATAGGATCCATATTCCTGGTCATGTGTTAATTTGTGTCATTTTAATAGTTTCTTGTCCTTGTAGATTCACCATTATTGTCATATGCATTTGGCAGATACAGCTTAGGTTCATGCTTAATCAGCACCCTTTTTTTAGTGTTAATCACCTCTGAACTTTACATGGTGTGTCAGTTTGGAGTTTGCAAGTCCTTCGACTATTGAAAAAGTTGACCAAGCTTCGTTTGAACCATGACTTTGGTATTGCGAGTCAGAACCTATACCGCCTACTCTATGAGGGATTTAGTTGGGGTGACTATACAGACAGTCAAGTGACATGAATGATCCTTTTGTGTTTATGCATATGATGTTGTTTTACTAAATGATTATCAAAGTATATTAGTCATTAACTTTATTTCATATTCTTGCTATTTCAAGCGTAACAGTCGCGCTTATGGTCAGTATGCTGTAAATGATGTCGTACCTTGTGCAAGTATAAACATTACTGAATGCTGTGTGTACGTTATACTTTAAACCTCATAAATTTTTTGAGAGACAAATATTCATGCATTTCTCAAGTCAGTTTCGTAGCAGTAACAATTTCTCCGAGATCCTACAACATGGAGCATCAGTGACTTTTGCGAAATTTGTAACTTCGGAGACTTTTGCAAATTTTTGTTTTCACAAATCTCAAGTCGTAAAATTTTGTGTCAAAAATTAAACACTTCACAGTATATAGAGTTAGTGTCAAAATTTTCAATCCATTGATTATTCTCACCAAGGTTTTCAGTAAAAAGTATCTCCAAATGTACACATGAATTTGTGAATGAGATTAAAATCACTGAAATACAGTTAAAACTCCACTGATAGTGATGACAGCCAGTGCCACTATTTCAAACTACAGTACTGAATATTTTGTTCTATTTGCTGTATTATTGGTGCATGTGCTTTCCGGTACATAAATTACAGGTTAAAAATAGATCATAGGTCAGGTGATAATAAATGTAGTCTTTGGTTTATGTGTGCTACTATAATGTGTTATATTGAGTGTTTAAGCACAGAATATCTTCTCTTATATATGGCATTTGTACAGTCTTTTTGTCTGATACAATTTTAAAAAAATGTGGGAAAAAAAATAGTATATATTATACTATATCAAGTATTGTCGTCAGGTTTTTTTATTTTTTTTTCAGCATTTGAACAGTTATGTTTTAATAATTATCAAGCTAAGGAGTTGCATAATTTTTGATTAATGGGCGGTAGTCGTCGCGCCACGCATGCGCGAGATATATGGGTCTCGTATAAACAAAGATGGCGACTTTGATCAACGAGTACAAACTGGGACGTTACCAAGCTTTTATTACGTACATTTTTAGGTGATTGGAAGGTGACGAAGGAGTCGCCGGAAGTAATTGATGCAAGTCGCGCCCAGGTTAAACCTCTAACTTATGATTTCCATTAGAAGAGCGCATTGGATTGTGGGAAAATCAATGTTTATCAACACAAATGTCGCACATGTGCAGTGCGACGACCACTGCCCTTTAAGCATAAGTAACTGAATATATTAATCTGTATTCAAATTCCAGTGAAAGGTAATGCACTAATTAATTTCTAGTAGTAGGAAAAAAAGCATAATTAGATTTTGAATTTAAGAAGAAAAAAAACTAATTCTAGGAAGTTGAAAGTTAGTGGTGTTCTGAATTATGAGACAGTTAATGACTTCTGATATGATTGGTCAAGTGCGTTTACCTTTAAATTTAAATATTTCTTGTCATTTCACCAGGAATTGAAAAATTAGAATATATCATTTATTTTTTGTTCTCAATTCAGCATGTATGCCTATTTTTGAATACATGTATTCTCAAAATTTTTAGGGTATTCGCGAGGATGTAATTTTTACAAATTTGTGACTTTGTCCTTCACACTCCAAATGTACAATTTGTTCTTGTGAAATTTAATTTCTTCACAGTTCATGTAGTTTTGATACATATTCCTGTCGCTTGATATTTCTTTTTAATGTTTGCATATTACTGGGAGAACATGTGTATAATTGTTTTGTTTTCTTATGTACATTGTATTTGTAGTTACCGGTAATAATGAAATAAAATTTCCTTTAATAACATTGCGTCTGACTTGTGGGCTTAAGCAAGTTGTAGAACTATGGAGGTGAAGCTATTCAAAACTTGGGTGCTAACGAACTGCTAAAAGTTGCCAAGATACTGTACAAAATACAAAAAGCTTGCTTTTAACAGAATAACCAAGTGTAGTTTATTTCAGTGCTGTTACTGTTGAGTAACTGATTCCTTGCCTTCAAGTTTGTGAAAACTTGAAACATGTATAAGTATTCATTATAAGTTTGGCATACAATCGGTACGAACCCTCTCCCCCCCCCCCCAAAAAAAAAAACATGACTTTGATCTAAGTGAAATGTGCAAGTGTTCTGTATCTCTGGCTGGAGATGATATGTGATTAGTGACATTTTGATCACCTTTGTTTTAGAACTATTATATAGGCTGATATGGGGGTCTCAAAAATCTAATAAAAAAAAACATTTCAGAGCAGTATTGACTAAAGCCACATGTTCATGAACGACCCATATAAATGTGTTGTTTATTCTATACTCTCTAAATTAAAGTAAATTAGTGCTGTTGAATTATCCAAATTCAGAGAAAAATTAAACATTAACATTTTATAGTAAATTAACATTACAGTGAAACTTTGAAAGCCACAAATAAACAAAGTGGTAAATATTTTCTAACATTTCGTTTGTGTTTCAACTGGCCGAATTTAACATGTTTTTGTTTTCAGTGCTAGTAAATACCACTATGTTAGATTATAATTGTTTTGGTAATGCACACATGTCCCGACTTTGAAACGCACATACATTATGCTGAAGTCGCTTACAATATTGGCTTGAAGTATCATTGTACCAAATTACTCTGAATTACGTGTTTTATCATTGTCCAGATCGCATGGTTTCGCTAGCTTTCGGCCATTCATAACTAGCCCACAAGTTCTGATTCCACAAGTGATGCAAATGACCGAAGTGAATCTTATAATCGCTTGAGGGCTTGCGACATACAGTAAATCGTGGTGAAATCCAAGAGTTAATGTTGAGGTTTCGGCCGAATAAATGGGTCTTGGCTGGCAAAGATGGTATTTTATCAACACGTCTATTTCTTCTACAAGATACAAAGAATAATTCTCTCTAAATCACCTTCAACTTTAAATCTCATTCTCTCCATTGCTCGTTCATGGTGGTAGATTTGATAAATATATAAAGGCAAAACAACTAAATGTCAAATTTAAACACATCACAGAATGATATGTTTACTTTAAATTTGACATGTAGTTGTAGTATTTAATTATTTTGTTTGCATATGTATCAAAAGATATATGAACACATGTGTGGCATCTGATTTGCAAACATAGTTGGCTTGCGTTTAAGGTTCCATAATGTAAAATGTACGTACCATGCTTAAATAATATCCACCGATGCCTGACAGATCTGAATGTAGCATAACAGAAATGCTCAATTTTGAAGATTTTTAAGCACTAAAATTTGATAAAACCACAAACTACGTTTATAATGAATGATCAACTTGAATGGCAATTCATAACTAGGCAAGTGACCGAATTCACTATATAAACCAGGACAGTTTTGTACAAGATTTTAGCATCTGCCCATTCTAGAGATTTCAGAGGAAAATGTTTCTGCACACAGGGTAAAAATCAAAGACTTATTTGTGCATTCATACAAGTGTCAACAAGAAACTCTTCACAGTATCTATTGTATTTTATTTGCATAAATTACCGATAGGTTGAGGTTCTAGCCATTTATACATTGAAATAAATACTATGAATAGGAACACTATAAGCCAATGTTTGACCAGTTCTTCAAAAGATAACTTTCACAGAAAATAAAAATAGTCATTAATTTCAATTAACGTAATTTGCTGATTTCAATTCTGTGATCAGTGTCATATCACACGTTGTAATGCTAATACGCAATGTACTGGGGTAACACTTCATAAAGAAATAAGAAAAGCCTCATTCCATCTCAGTTTTTGCTGAAAAATGTCACACACACACAGTTCATTCAAATACATCAAACTATTCACGTTCTACTTCTCTCTGAAGTGCAATTACTGTCAATCTATCCAAGGAATTTATATAACTGGTAGTGTACAGCTTGTTAATAAAACTTTTAAAGAAATTAAAACCACATTTCAAATGCACTTATATGCGTGATATATTTATTGCGAGGGTACATCTGACCCACAGGATGCCTTAGTTCAGGGTAGTTTTTGATAAATCATCAAATATACAGCTTCATTCCCAAATATGAAAAGTATCTTTTAGACATTTATTATAATTCAATTTTCAATTAAATTCTTCTATTAAATAAAATAAAAACAATTTTGGCAGGTAGTAAATATCAATTAAAAACTTAATATGTATGGCATAATATATATTCATAAAGTCCTAGCATTTTAGTAAATCAGTTAACAAAACACTACATCATGCTTTCCTAGAGCATTCCAGTCATTCAGTGTTGTGTTGATATGGGTCCAATGCAACATGTACACTGTGTGCAGAATGCACAACTGTATTTGCTCTATTAGTAAGGTTTACACTAAAAGACAGAGGTATGTCTATTGTTAAAATAAGTTGTATTTGAATGATCAAATATACAATACATAAAAATGTTGGTTTACATGGGCTTCTAATAGAGCAAAATATGGTATTCCATGTGTGCTTCTAATAGAGAAAAATGTGTTTTCATGTGTTA